TAGGCACTCCATTGGATAAACTGTCTTTTGACAAAGTGTACATATTTCCTTGTCTTGAAGCAGCAGTTTCTAAAAATAAAAATTCACAAAGGTTTATATAGTGTTATCTTCAATCACATTGTAAACACATAACAAAGCAAAAGAACCACGTATTAACTGGCCATGCAGTTAAAATGGAAAACTCTTAGACTATTGTCCTTATATTAATTCTCTGCACACGGGCTATCCTACTGTCAGTTTTAAGGCTCAGGTAGGATGATCAACATTGCCCTAGTGCCTCTACTATTTATACATTATACAAGTAGACTTTTATTATTTAAGAAAATATACATGTGTCAAATGTGTTCATTAAGTTTAATATATTAAACAATATGTATAGCAAACTTAGCTATAGAGAACCCTGAGAGACCTTATCATTCTAGATAGCTGAACTTTCTATGTATATAAAGGTTTACACCTAACTTGGCCTAAAGTTTTAATTTTTTGAACCATTCTGGATAGATCTTTCCAAAATGTATACATATCTTTTTAAGCCCAAGACGTTGAATTTGTTTAAATATTTTCTTGATAACTTAAGGCGCTGAGTGTAAGACACCAACTCTTGCGTGTAGTATAATGGGACTCCTGAACACACTGGAATGTTCAGGGCCATTTGTCCTCAATCTAAAAGGTTTTATATTTTAGAGGCTTTGGGGTTCTTTTCACAGTTTTCCTATTTTTCTTGCTCTGAAGTTCCCACAGTCACTTCCTGCTGCTTTAGTCCCTATGAATAACAGTAATTAGATTACTAACCAGTGTTTATATAGTGGTTTAAAACTAACACAGACTTTTCTTTCACTTCAGTATTGCTTTTGATCATTACAATGATCCTGTAAGAATAACTATGCTTTGATATTAGCTATATATAAGAAAAACTATGCTCAGGGTTCTTTATAAAAATAAATATATATACTTTAACACCTAGATGTTCAATCTGGGCCACTGAGAGGACTCCTTTGCTTATTTGGTTCTAGTAGAGGACACATTTTCATATTTGACAGTAGTTTCTTTGTATTTTCCGTGTTTTTTTCAGCTATCTTAACAGAAATTGAGCATTTGAAATTAGACAGCTTTGCTTGATTATGCCAGAAGCAAACACATTAAAAAACATATTAACCTGATAAACTGGACACGCTGCAAATATGATAGAGGCATAATTATTAGTTTCAGCAGTTTTTATTTTGAAGCTTGCTATTTCTTTCAATCTGCCTAAAAGGATGGGCTACACTAATGATGCACATTAATTATGTCAAACTCTTTTATCGTAAAGCCTCATTAATTGTAAAAAGTAGAGAAAATCTAAAGAAATGATCTGTTCTCTGATGTTAAAAAATATGTACCAAGTTCATATGATTCAAATCTCCCTCCTTTCAAATATAATAAATTTTAAAAAATGTTGTTCATGTTCATCTGTGAATGAGGTCAATTGAGCTATCATTAGGGGTTTTTTCCAGAAAGGTGAAAAAAATCAGTTATAGAAAAAAAAATGTGGCATCAGAGGAAGCTAACTCTATCCAACTCAACTAAATACATAAAAGGTCTAATTCCACACCTATACTTTAGTCGGAGATACAGATCAATAAAAATCCTTAAAACATATGAAGAGTGTAAATTGTTTCTTGGATTATTAACAATCTACATCGAATTCACTGCAAAGACCACTTAAGTCTAGCAGTTAAAAACATGCCAATAGTAGGTCAAGGGATATTAACTAATATTGTCTAAAACAATTGTATGAAATAATAAGAAGAAATATTAATAATGTGGTATGTTCTATAATTATTAACAAATACGACTATATGTTAATATAATTGTTAATACTATCACAACAACAATTATTGCTGTATCTGGTACTCTATCCAAAACCTTGTTTACCTTGACAAATATGTCTCAATAATTTATATAATAGAATTTGTTATTCTCACACAGTGCAGGTAAATCATACTGGATGCTTTTGTAAGGGAAAGTAATAAAAGCAAACATACAAAGAAGATACAAGCGTACAGAGGAAGCTGTTAGTTTTAGGTTATATTGTTTGGTTATTTCCACACACTGTTTTAACTGCAAATCATCTTGGCTATGGAACACATGCCTTTAAATAGTCAATCTTCTTTCACACTTTGCAAGCTCATTTACCACTTATAAATGCAGATTCCTCTTGGAAGGTGGTTCTCATTTCAGTTGCAGAAGCATCTGAGGCTGCATATCCCAGATTTCTAAAAACACTTTCACTCTCCTGCCATGTCTTTTGAAAATTTTTTCTGAGTGCTTCAGGTGAATCAGAGATATCTAAAATATGGCCAGCAATGACATCTTCATAGGTTGGTGGGGCATGCTTGAAGTCAAAGCCAGATTTGCCGGCTTCTGAGTTATGTGATGAAGAAGTTTTCATCTTTGAATCAACAATTTGACTCTGAAATGCATCCACGCCTGAGAAATGTTCAGTTAGAGACCTTGTTTCAGTGCAGACCCTGGGCTGTTTAACAGAAATTTTTTCTTGCACCTCTCTAGGATGTTTGCAAGAAAAGTCTGTAAAACTAGTGTTTCCTGAAGATGTTAATCCAAATTCCTCCTTACAAAATGTACGACTTTCTTGTTTTATATTATGGTTTGCTTCTCCATTTGCATAAACTCTTCTATTTGACTTTGCTTCAAAAACTGGGCTATCTTCAAACTCTCTGAACCATCTGTTTATTTCATTTTCACGGTCATTCACAAAATTTTCAGCCATTTGAACGGTTCGGTTGGCTGCTTCGTATCTCTGTGTGTGCTCTGACAGGTGAGGCACTTCAACCTTGCGGATGATTTCCACTGCATCGTAACTTTCAGTATCCGGCACCATGCGGTCGGCGGGATTTACCCCATCCCTGTGAACATAGGTGGCTCTTTTCTCTACTTTCCTAACTTCCTCTTGAGCCTCCATGGATTCTCTGAAAGAGCCACTAGCAGCATGATTTACGCTCACAGGTATTGTGATTGTGGGTGGAGAGTCCCTACCACGAGTTTCTATCTTAATTTGACGACGGAGTGTTGCAGGAGACACGATGATTTCAGACCTTTTCTCTACAATCGGAACCGGGGTGACTGATGGAGATGGGATGGTCCCTCGGGATAACTTTGCAGTGGTGTCTTTCAGTTTGACAAGTTGTTCTGAGCGACTCCTGGGTGGAGAAGGGAAGGTGTTTGCTCTGTGAATTTTAGATGTTTGTGACGTGGGCTTTCTTGGTGGGGGTTCAATGCAACCGTCCTTTTTAGGGGACTGAGAGAGCTCATCTTTAGCAGAGGTTTCTGTTCGTCGGGCAGTAGATTCAATTGTTATAAAAGTAGGCGATGGTGGGCGTGTTTTTATAGAAGGAGGAGAAATCTTACTATCATCGAGTTTAATTTCCTGATGGGTTTTTGCATGAGTTTGAACAGTTGCTTCGTGATGAGTTGCTACTTGGTGTACTGTTTTTTCTTCTGCCATTATATTTTCTTTCTGTTCAGTGTTTTTATTATAGCTGACATTAGCATTAGATACTTTGGAAGATGTTTCATTAAGACTGGTAGGCTTATTTCCTTGCTTTCCTGTTTTGGAGGATCTCATGGCTGTTTGAATTATATTTTCACAGGACACAAGCATATCCTCTGCTTGAGTTTTAATATGTGTTATTTCTTCTTTCACTTTTTCTAAATTATTCTCCATGGCAATGCGAGCTCCATATTCTCTTTTCTCTTCATTTATCAGCCATACAGGGATAATATTTAACAGTGTCTGAAATGTTTTAAGGCCACTTTTATTGGGCTCTGCTTCAAACTGTTTTACCCTAGACAAAATCTGTTGTAGTTCTTCACGTTTTCTCAAGAATTCCAATATATTTATGGCACATTTTCCATCATCCTGCTGGAATTCTTTCACAGATGAAAATAAAGATTTGTTCTGTGTAATCTCTTGCTTTGAATCTTTAGTATTAGAGAAGACTTGTTTCTGTTGTATGCCCTTGACTTCAAGACATTTTTCTTCCTGCGGACTATTATGTGGCTGGGGCAATTTTTTATGTTCAACTTTACTTTCAGAAGTCTGTGTTTGCTGAAAATTCTGAGTCTGTGAATCAAGATATGTATCAATAACCTTTTGTTTGGCAACCTTTGGTGCTGACTCATTTTTCAAATGTTCTTGTTTTCTTTCAACTATTAATCTCTCTTCTTTTAAACCAATCACTGATGATCTCTCATTTTTTTCTTCACTTCCTAGAAGTTTCCCCTTCTCAGATTCCCTAAATTCTCTTTGTTTCTCAGGAACTATCTTGAGCTTACTTTCACTGTTTGTTTCTGTGGATTCTGTAGGCACTTTTATCGTCACTCTTTTCTCCTTCTTAGGTAACTGATGATATTTTTCAGCCACAGATTGTTTATTACTATATTCGGTGCTTGCTTCAATTTTCTTGGTTTCCTGATTCTGTTGTTTGGTAATGGTTTGAACGTCAACTTCGGATTGCTTCTTACGACATTCATGGCTGTGGTCTGTTTCATTTAACATACGATCTTGAGTTGGAAGCTTGACGGTTTTAACTTTGAAACTTGGGGAAACTGGTTTGCTTTGGGGCATGTGCAACTGCTCCACATACCTCTTCTGCTGTGTTTGTTGTGTGCTGCATTCTTGGTGAGTCTGCTTAATTTCGCAAGCTGCTTTAGATTGCATAGTGTCCCTTGAGCTCTGTAAAACTTCCTTTTTCATATTATCTTTGTCTTCCGAGGCAGCTAGAACGTGTTGGAGCCTCTCGGCAGCAACTGTCACTGCTGATGTTGTGGAGATCTGGTGACCAGGACACACTTCTAGTGTCTGAGCACTACTTTGAGAGTTTGGGATGGGTTGGACCACAGTGCGCTCTGAGTCAATTCCAGATAGGGGAACCTCCTTATTTGTTTTTTGTAATGGAATTTCCTTTTCCAACTCTGATGTGTTTCGATGTTGGCTTTGTGTTCTGACGATGTTGTAGTGAGAGCTCTCCTGTTTCTGTTTTTCAAGCTCTTCTCTTTGTTGTCTGTAT